CTCCCCCCCCCCCCCCCCACCCCCAGACCAGGTGACCAATAGAGTCTGCTGAGGTCACTGTGATTCAACAGAAAGAAGAAGAAGAAAGGGCATGTTCATCTCTTTTTGCTAATGCCTAGTGCTTTTGCTGCCTTGTTTTTAAATCGTTGCAGTGACTTGTAAGGCAGTGCTGGATCTTTAGGTGGATAATTTGGGTTTCGTGCTGTTGTGCATCAGGGAGGGTTCCATCTGTCCACTTGGTTTGTGGAGAGCCCTCAGAGTGGTTTTTTTTTGTGGCAACTTGCATGATTGGTGAGAAATGCCATACATCAATAGTCCAAAACTTTCATGTATAAAGCAAACATTGTTTTATTGGTAAAAACTTGTGGAATTATATACAACCAATACATTTTGGGCTTTCCCCCTTCCTCCGGGCTTTGGTTGTCAAATGTTTTGGCATGAAAAGAGAAGAGAGTACTGCCGCTGTACTCAGCACAGAGCTCCGATGGCATCCAACACCCTGCAGACACTTTCATCATATGTCTGGATAAAGCAACAGAAGCTCTCAAGAAGGGGGAAAACCCCCAAAGCATTGGGTGTATATTGACACAAGTTTTTATCAATAAAATCACAATGTCTTCATAACTGAAAGGTTGAGATGATTGATTTACAGCACTAGATCACCACCAATGTTTTTTAAATGTGAGAGTTGGCTATGTGGGCCCAAACTTATCCAGCAGCCTCATACTGTTCGAAAATGTACTTAAAGAAAACCATGTTTTAACACCAGGCTGTTTTTCTAAATTGGACTACAAATACCTCTCTCATATCAATCACAGAGACGGGTATCCTTTGCTTTATAGTTCACAGAGGATAGAAGACAAAGGTGATAACATTGCTGTGGATTTCAGTTCAATCCACACGAAGTTACAAGGACACAATATTTCAGACATGAGCAACAGATATTTTCCTGTAGGTGCAGAAAATGTCTTCAAAATGTAGCCACTACATCTAAGAACTTCTGAGCTGCGATATATTCAATTTTTTGTTATTTGGAATCATTGTAAAAATGACACAGGTAACTGGGTGGATATTATGTTACAGCAGGTCAAATTCTAATGGTAATTTACAAGCAACCTAAAATAACTGATATCAGAAAACAACAGGTAGCAATCAGTTCCACAGATATTCTTCACATTTATTATTTGATAATTTTTTTAAAATAACGATTTCAGAACAGACTTGTCAATTTTCCCAGCTTTTACTAGAAGTTGCCCAAATGTATATGTACTTCTACTCATACATATTTTTGAATAAACAGCCCCGTTTTGCAATGCACTGATGCAGACCATGGAGTCTAACCCTGCAACTAAAATAGCCTGGAGTGCAATGAAACCTTTGCTGATGGGAAAAATACTCTACACTCCGGATGCTCCGGCTATTCGTGAAATCCTGAAGCATGTAAGGCATCTTTATATTGTTGATATAACATAGTTCAAACCACACCATGCCTACATATCCCATAGGCTAATATCTCAATGTACTTAGTCAGCCGTGACTAGCCATAGAATGTTTTCTTTGAAAGACTTCTTTATGTTTTTGTTAGTAATAACAATGCAGAGTATAACTCTTTTGTGTCAGATTATACATTTACATCTGTCTGGGTTACAGTATAAGAATTTTAATGCTAAGACTGTTAAACTCAGCCAGTTTTTCTACATGGGTCCCATGCACCCAGTGCCCCCTATTGGTTGTGTGCGTAGGACTTACTGTAGTCTGTACTTTTTATCATGTATTGCTGTGCTTATAGTTATAGGTTTTTGCATAATGCTTAAAGGGTTAGTTCACCTTTATAGAAAAATACCCTGTGCAGTCTCTAAACACCATTCCATAATCCTCACCTAATCAGATTTAACAAATATTAATTTATGCTCTTTTCATATTTGTAGGCTATTTGCGCAAGGAGTCCGTCTTCATTTTAGGATGGACCAGACATTATTACAAGAGCCCACCCCCCCCTAGCGGTACAGCAGCAAACGGCATCCTTCCCCCGAGGCGCACACACACAGTGTGCTTTGTCTTGTGATGTCTCAGATGAGCTCAAAGGCTGCGACAGAAAACAAAGCACACTGCGCATTTGCGGGGACTTGGAAGAAGGATGGTGTTCGCTCGTGCACCACTCATCTTAAAAGCTGGTTCGTCCTAGGAAAAATACAGGACTGAGCTTTGAAAACTATTTTTTGGGGGGGCTGGCCTCAATACTTGTGCAAATGGCCTACAGGTATGGAAAGAGAATAAATGTGTATTAGTAAAATCTGATTAGTTAAAGTAGTATAAAAGTCTCAATTTTTTTACATATATCTACTGCTAGCAAGCCGTATATACATTGAGTGGCCAGATTATTATGACCACCTGATGTTTGTAGGCAAATTATCTATAATTAGCTATAATTTCGCGCTGAAGTTGCTAGAGGGCCAGACCATTATAAATAGGGAAGCAGGTTGTTTACCACGACAGTAGGTGATTTTTTTCTGAAGATATGGGTAAACAACACAATTTAACAGCCTTTGAACGTGGGATGATTGTTGGATGGGAGACATGGAGCGAGTATCAGCAAAACAGCAGAATTCGTTAAATGTTCAAGAGCAGCTGTTGTTAAAGTGTTTAAAGACTGGACTGTCAGCTGAAAATCTGGGTCTGAACGTGCGAATTGTGGCAGTCAGCGACTAGTCAATGTTAGGGCAGAACGGAAAGTGGCAAGACTGGTACAAGACAACAGAAGGGCAACAGTGCAGTGTCAGATTCCTTGCATCACCTTTCAACATCTCGTGGAGTCACAAGGCGGCCCAACAAAGTAATCTTGTGGAGTCATCTCATGGCCCAACAAAGTACTGATGGGGTGGTCATAATAATCTGGCCACTCAGTGTATATGCCCCAACATTTAAAAAAAGAAAAAAGTTGGCAAATATGTAATAATTTACCTGTGTCTGGGCCCCTCGCTCCTGGCTGAAGAACACACCTTCCCAAACGGCCGTGCAGGAGGAAGTGTGTGTGGGCGCATGCGCATGGGGGGGGGGAGAGGAGGAGTGACACAGTGTAAGTTAATGCACACAGCCACGAGCGTGCACGCAGAACAGACATAGGAGTCTGCACTGGATCAGAGAACGGCACCAGCACTGGAGGAGAAAGATATTCACATCAAGAAGCATCACATAAGGTAATTTGGGAAGAGGGAACGAGCCTTTAATGTAACTTTAAGAGTCATGGAATGGTGTAGAGGGACTGCATAGGGTAGGGGTAGGCAACCTCATCACTCCAGCTGCTGTGGAACAACAAGTTCCTTGAGACACTGCAAGACTCTGACAACCATAGACACAACTCCCAGAGACATGATGGGATCTGTCGTTTTAGCACAGCTGGAGTGCCATAGTTGCCTACCCCTGGCATTGGGTAATTTACTATTAAGGTGAACTAATCCTTTTTTGCTTTTTATATAAATTGACATACTGAATGGATATGGATAGACCTTCTATTCTTAGGGGTCTTATTATCTGGTGACTCTTGACTTCATTGGGTGAAGGGTGTGTGGTGGAGCACTTGTTGGGAATTCATGCCTGGACACTGAATTCATGATTTATAAAATCACTTGATGGAAGATCACAGATTTATTTACAGATTCTATAGTTTTGTGTTCTCTAGTTTGAAAGTTTTGAGGATAACATTTTAGAAGGACTTCTGGACGCCCTGTAACATAATCCATACGTATACATTTGTGCACTGTTAAAAAAAAGGAAACATTTTATTTTATTTGGTTGATTATATTGATTATAAATTACAAATGTCATCCAGATGATTCAGTCATTCTGCTATAATTAATCTTGGCAGGGAATATTTGTATATATTTTTATATAATATATATACAGTATATATATTAGGAATGCACTGAAATTTTGGCCGCCAAAACATTTAGGCCGAAAATGGTACTATGGGCAAAATACGGATGGTGTCAAAACGACTGAAAATGCGCCCGAAAATGCAGTGCATCCCTAGCTTCTCTCCTCCTCGCTGGGCGTTGTGTCCCCTCCGATCCCTGCTGAGGAGGAGGAGATAAGCTGTCAGGAGGCCAAACGGTGCGGGTGGAGAGCTAGGCCTCCTGTGAAAGACAGAGCAGCAGTGGATGCACCAGGGCCTTGGGGCTCTATGGGGCCCAGTTATACAGAAATGCTATTGTTATATGAAGTATTGCTGGGATGTGTAGTCCTCTATAGCCTGTGGCATTCTGCATTGCTGTAAATATTAGGGTTGCACCGATTTATCGGCCACCAAAAGATATCAGCCGGAGATGGCACTTTTGGCTAAATGCCAAAAGTGCAATTTTTCTGCTGATACAGCAGCGCATCCGTGCTTTCTTTCCTCCCCGCTGGGCGCTGCTCTGTGTCCCAGCAGGGAGGAGAGAAAGTGACAGTCGGCC